TAAATAACCCTAAATCGAAAAAGACAAAAATAAAAAATAAGAAATAAAAAAAAAATTTACATTGGAGGTGTTCATGGCACGATGTCGGTGGTTAGGCGATTTGTGGCCGGTGGATTCGGTGGTTAGGCGATTTGTGGTCGGTGGATTCGGTGGTTGGTGGTTTCGCTGGTGGATGTCGTTGTTGGTGGGGTGTCGTGGGTTTGATTAATGGCGTGTTTTGTTGGGTCTTGGGTGGTGGCGTGAGAAATTAAGGCTGAGAAATAGCGTGAGAAAGGAAGAAAGAGGGGAAAGGAAGAGGGAGAAAGAGGAGAGAGATAAAGCATGTGCTTGTGTTTGGCTGATACATTCACAAAATCATACTCCCTCTGTCTCTAATTGTTTACTCCACTTTCCTTTTTAAGGTGTTCCCAAAAGATTGCCCCATACTACTTTTGGCATGTTTTCCCACTTACACTCTCTCTACCTTTCTCCTATTGATATTTGTGTCAACCCATGTGCACCATTTTTTGCCTAATGCCTTAATAAAGTGAATTTATGGTTTGGGGCAAACAATTGGGGACAGAGGGAGTACTTTCTACATAAGCTAATAGTATGTACTTCCTCCATTTTTAAATACTTGCTTCATTTTTATTTTTTGCACTATTCATTTGTCATACTATGACTAATGTTTGTGATTTATACATAGTAAAAGATATTATCTTGTTGATACTTGTTGGAATCGTCTCAATAAATAAATTATTAATTTTTAATTGTTAGAATTTATACTTTATTTATTGATAATTAAAGATATAATTGATCAAAGATTAACATCAACATACGTGCCCAAGACAAACGGAGTAAGTTTTTAAAAACGGAGGGAGTAGTACATACTTCCTCCGTTCTATTAATATTGCAACAATGGACTTTTTGCACTATTCATCACTCTTGTTTGACCATATAAATATAATACGATTTATATGTTAATCAAAATATAGTCATGTTGGATCTTGTTGGATTCGGCTCATAAAATACTTTCACAATATCAATTTTTTATAATTTTTACTCTTACACAATTATAAATATTTAGCATATGCAATGTGCTTTGGGATGCGTAATTTTCTCCTTGTTGCAATATTAATAGAACAGAGGAAGTATAAGCTATGATTTTGTGAATGTGCTAGAAAGAAAAAAAGGAAAAGGGGGAAAGAGCAGAGAAAATGAAATTAAAATAGTTTGTACTTGTATATACTTTCTATATAAGCTAATACAAGTAACATATCAACCAATTAATATTTTGTATCCGTCAACATTATAAACATTAATAAAAACGTATCAACCAACAAAAGATACATATCAGTCAACAAGAGGAGTATATCAGCCAACAAGAAGAGTATATCAGCCAACATGATGAACATATCAGCCAACAAAGGATGTATATTAGCCAACAAAATGATGAAATCAACAAAAAAAAAAAAAACAGGTAAGCTAACAAAGTAAACAAATCAGCCAACAAAATGAGACATATAAGCCAACAATTAACAATTAAAATATATTTGTCATCCAACAAAATAAATATATCAGCCGACTAAAGAAACATATAAGCCAAATTATGTCTAATATTAGCTCAAAAGAAGAAAAAAAAATAAATAGATAAAAAAAATATCAGCCAACAATAGTAATATATTAGCCAAACAAAAAATCATATCAGCTAACAAATGAAACATATCGGCCAACACATGGAACATATAAGCTAATGAGTAAAATATATCGGTCAAGCCTCCCGCACCAAACAGTTTGTGCGTTCGTAGTCATGCAATACCCTTTTTTTTTTTTTTTGAAAAAGCGCTCAAGGAGAAAGATTAGTATTAATTCACGCACACAATACCTTCTCTCTCTCTCTCTCTCTCTCTCTCTTCTCTCTCTCTCTCTTTTCTTCTCTCTCTCTCTCTCTCTCTCTCTCTCTCTCTCTCTCTCTCTCTCTCTCTCTCTCTCTCTTCTCTCTCTCTCTCTCTCTCTCTCTCTCTTCTCTCTCTCTCTCTCTCTCTCTCTCTCTCTCTCTCTCTCTCACATATATATATATATATATATATATTACCTTTTAATTAATTGCCCTACTTAGATAATTTTATATTTGAAAAATTGAAAAATAATTCCACCTTTCGCCCATCTGCTCAAAATAATCCCACATTTGTGAATTTCAGAAATAATCCCACCTTGTACTTCCATCTTCCGAAAATGAACCTTTTTACCTTCAACCTGTTTTACAGGTTAAATATTTTAAATTTTTTTTTTAATCTTCTTTTTCCACCTCACCCACTTCATTCAACTACCTTAACCACCCACCACCACTAAGCTGACCACCTTCCCACTATCACCACAAAACTGACCCCCTGAGATGCAACCCTAGCCCCGCCCCGCACCTGAGCCACGCCCACCCAAATCCCACAAGTCTCCTCAACAGCAAGCTCCAGGGTTTGAATCGGAAACCTCGTTCCCACCCATCACCATTGATTTCGTTTCGATCAAGCTTCGAGGTTTCGTCTTTGTTGTTCAGGCGGTCAAGCTCCAAGGTCAACCTCGTTCCCACCCCTCACCCCACCTCTGAACTAAAATAGCCCGGTCAAATCGTTGTTACTCGGGTGAATAAAGAAAACAATGGAGATAGTTGTTGGAGTAGACTCGGGCGAGTAAAGAAACTTGCTGGGAGTTGAGGGAACTGAGTCGACTCAACTCAGGGGACTCGCTAGTGAGTTGACTGGTGAAATGGGTGGGTGAGTCGGGTATAGGACCAGAGAAACGATTTGGTGGTGATTGGTGAATTGAGTGGGAGGGAATCAAGGAGGCAGGCTGGGTCTGGTCGTCATGGCGGACAACTAGTCTGACTGGTCGGCGGCGGCTGGTCCGGTGAGGGAAAGGGGGCTTTGGCAGGGGAAGGAAGAAGAAGATGGTTTTTTTTTTTTTTTTTTTTAAAAAAATAATTCTTTAATTTTTTAAAACCCAATTAAAAGGTGACACGTGTCAAATTACCTTTTAAAACAGGTTACCAATTCAAACAATCGGTCATTAAATAAGAAAGGTTCATTTTGAGAAGATGAGGTTACAAGGTGAGATTATTTCTGGAATTCGAATAGGTGGAATTATTTTGAGCATATAGACGAAAAATGGGATTATTCTTTTTAATTTTTCCTTTTATAATTATACATCTAAACTCCGTCTTTACCTCTAGGCTAAATATTATGGTCTTAGAAAAATAATGATGACATCCAAACTTAGGTAGGGTCCAAATTTGGGCACCGTCCTAATTTTGCCAAAATCAACAACTTCAATTTTTAGAAACCAAACATACACCTTATATACGTTGTACATCACGTATTTACGTTTCGTACTATACAATACAATACATTCAATTTTCATTTTATTTATTTAATCAATTAATTTATGTGAAAATCAACAAAAAAATAACCGACTTGTGAGATTGTGTGCGGCAAAATCAAAACCCGACAAAACGTGTTTGTTTTATAGCGGCTTAACTTGATCCAACTACCAACAGAATTTTTCATATCTCTTACGTGGCACCTTTTTATTTATGGTCAAATATTCTCGTTACTCTTTTATTTCACCGCCTTTCTTTCACATCATGTCAGAAAAATACAAATTTCTTTTCCACATTGTTTTTTCTTAAATATTTCACTTCGTATATTTGTAATACTTCTTTCATCTTAGGACCTGTTCTCTATAACTTATTTCAATTCAGTATAATTCAATTCTTAATTTCAATTTAGTTCAATTTAATTCATTTTAGTAAATCAAAATTAGTCCTTAGTACAAGTATATTTTATATGGAGTACTTCATACGAACCAAAAATTAACTTTATACTATTAAGCAAAAACATAATATAATTGGTAGGAGTTTTACCTTATTACCTTAACATAGGTTTTGATTTTCGCTAATTGTCGTTTTTTTACAGGTGTGATTCTCTTGTCCTTTCCACATTCCTCAAGAGTCTAATATTGAGTATAGTTGTTTTTCTTACGTTATAGATTTGTTGCACTTGACATAGGATTAAAATTTAGATTAGAAAAAATTATCAAAAAGTGATATTGTATGGAGTAATAAACTTGGGACAAATTATTAAAATAAATTGTGGCAATTAATTGAGATGGAAGCAATAATGATTTTATACATATAACACATTGACTAAGGATTTTTTTTGAACTAATCCATTCGTTCATTCGTTGAATCTAATAATAAAATAAATAAAAGTGTATGGTCGCCTTCCACAATCTCCCCTGCTTTCTTGTGATTGTTTAATTGCGGAAATTGAAGATTTCTTGTCAAGTCCTCTTAATTTCTTATTCTGATTTTCTTCAACCTTTTTTTTTTTTGATGTTCACATATATTTAAGGTTCACTAGATTTTTTATAGTCTTGAGCATGATGCTAATTGCGCCTGTGCACCCGTTTGTTCCTTACACCTACACTATAGTTCGTGTTATACAGGCCAATACTTCTCAGTTAGTCAAAGCTGAATTTTGTTGTTTTACTCTGTAGTTATTGTTTCTGTCATAACAATTATACTCCCTCCATTTTTAAATATTTGCTCAAATTTATTTATGAGCGGAGTTTTTGGAGAAATTGGAGAAAATAATAAAATATGGAGGTAGTGAGATTAGTGGAAGAATAAAAAATTATAAAAAACCAAAAATAGTGGAGAGAATTGAAAGAGAGAGAATATGGAATTAATGTTATTAGATCCACTTAGTGAGAAAAATTAATTAAATATTGTAAAAGTTTTTCAAATAAAGAAATAAAACAAGTATTTAAAAACGACCGGAAAAGAAAAGTGGAACAGCAACAGCAACGGCAACGGAGTATCATTAAAGATATGACCAACAGCAACGGCGCTTCTACTACACTGGCTATGAACGGAATTTGATGAAAAACTTCCCACATCCTTAATTCACTTTCCTTGATATTCTTATGATCCTATCTAATTCATCTTTTTACACTGATCTCACAACTTTTATAAGATTCCAAGATTTTGTACTCTGTAAAGTCAGCAATCAAGTTATTCCAAGCAATATCCTATGTTTAAACTGATTACATAATACACCAGTTATGTGAACAAGATACAGCCTGACTGATCATGTACAAACCGAGGCCTTAGCACTTAGCAGGAGATGTGATTGAGTACAACTTATATAGGCAGAAAACCACAAGCCTCCTGTATACGCTATACTATACACTTTTTTTTTTCTTCTCAATTACAAATATGTAACTTTGATTGAAAACCATGTTTTTGGCTAATTAACCTGCTCACTGTTGGCTGCAACTCTTTTCTCTTCCTCGACTTGCTCAATTAAAACTTGAAGTTCTGCTTCAGTAAGACCCTCCAACCGTTTCTGTAAAATGCAGAGGATTACTGATTATGAAATGCTCGTACAGAGTAAGAGAAATATTAACACAGTTATTAGTGGTCCAACAAACAAAGTTCCAACTATTAACTTCGTAAAATATGCATTAAATTTAAGTTGTGACCAGTTTTTGAATCTCAAGTAAAAACAAACGAGTCTAATCTGACAAGAGGAGTTTAATCAATTGGTCTTTATTCTTCTAATATTGTCTGACAAAAGAAGCTAAACTGCTGGAGCATACACAAATAACATCAGACTTGATTGTTAGTATGTTACAAGGATTGCTTAACGAGTAAGCCAAAATGAGATGAGATGCTTATCTGAGACATCAATGCTAATCAACTTGCCAAGAAAGTAGGTGATAAAGAGAGGTCCAGTAGAGGTACCTAATACCTATAGTCCTATACATATCCTTCTCAAACATTCAATTATATAGGCCAGGGGTAGAGCTGAATATTGATCATAATTAAGAAAGTCATTAAGTCAATGGCCGTCGATTTCATAAACAGATGATAAGTTACAATTGGATCCTAAAAAGCAAGAACAACCCCAAAATGCTCGAGATATTTTTAATGTTAGAATATGATCTGATCACCAAACCCACCCCCCCCCCCCCTTTTCTACAAGGCCTGGGATTGTCCACATGAGAGTAATCTGGGACATAGAAAATAGGCAAGTACTTGTATTTGTCTCGCAGTGTTCTCTAAATGCCTGATACCTAACTTCCTCACGATAAAAATAGTCTGAAATATTTGTTTGGAATTTAGTTATGTCAATGAATCTCAGATGTTAGGAGCTAAAGAATTACTAAATATATTAGGAAAATTCAAAGGACTAATCTCAAATTTTGTTGGTACTTATCCCAACTTGGATTTTTAAGACAGACTGATAGATTCCATATTTCCATGTTATGGTACCCTGTCTCCTGTCTCCAAATTGGTCTGTTCATAAATTGGGATTGATAAATAAGATTCCTATTGGTTTTGTCTAAACATATTCTTCCCTAGTCTTAGCGGCTTAGCCGTGAGCCCGTGTGATGTTAAGCATGATAGAGGAGTACTAGTCTTGGGGTTTCTTATGATTTAAGAAATAAGATATGCTTATGCCTTAGGGTACACGCTAATTTATGTACTACGTTTTTTTTTGACAGGTAGTATTTATTTTGACTGATGATGATTGAGAGCACAACAATTAAAGATTCTGCATGATTCTACAGCATATCAGAGGGGTCTATATTCTATAATAGAATCGTCCAAAATTTCAGCTAAGATTGAAGCCGGAGAAGAGGCTGCAAAATAAGGAGAGTAGGTGACCAGATCCAAAGGAGACTTTTTTTTTTTTTAATTACAGAGTATATGCAACGTAGGAATCATGTTGTAAATGGGGTATCCAAAATTGAGATTATTTTTTTATACTTCAAAGTTGATATTAAAGTTAGTAGGCAGCCTTGGAACTTGGAAGGATTGGCCCATTCTTCAAAAACAGACAACCAAAATAAGAAAGACAAACATAACATATGGGATATGGCCTACCTCCATTACTTTACTCTCATAGTCCCGCAACTGATGAGCATAAGTCATGTCTTTACTTGCAACCCGAAACATATATGTTGAAATCCATCCAACTGTCATGCCTAAGACTATCACTAGCTGAACAACATTTCCTGCTTGTAATGGATCAACTCCAACAAACTGCCAGAACACCACAGTGAGACAAACCATAAGCTAACAACCGAATAAAACAACAATACATGCGCAAAGAGGTAAAGCTAGATATATTGGTTTTGCTTTCTTTGGCCTCTAAGCAAAATATCTTTTAATGCGATAGAGATCTTGAATTATTAGTGGAGAATATGCAAATCAGATAGAGCTTTAGAGCATATTCTATAAATGTATAGAATGTGCAAAACCAACAACAAAAAGATGCCAAATTTAAGAAACCAATCATAGGTTATGATACCTCCAATCCGCTCTTCAATCCTACTCCAAAAACTGTTACTCCTAATCCAATCAGCAGCACATCCTTCCTGGTGTATCCAAAAGGTGCCTGGTGATGAGCATGTCAATGCAACGTATTCAATCAAATAGTCAAAAATAAGCATAAAGGCATAAAATATTGTTTTAGGGAGCTCTGATAACTTTAGCTCCTAGATAAACTATGGCTTGCAACATAGGTTATGTCAACTTTATGCATTAACTCATACCATTAACTTTCCACTTCTTAATTGAGAAAATTCCCAATACACAAAGCCGAACATCACTCATATTGTTGCACCATTTTCATCAATAAGGCGTCAGTTGAAGAACAAATCTTAGGGATGATACACCATAAATTCAGTTGGTGGTTAATATAATAAACTCAAACAACATTTTTTTTCTGAACAATTGAATCGGACAACTTCTGCTTCCATAAACAACCCCTCCCCCAAGCGTTGAACATGTTTTCTGGAGCTCACATAGCCGGGAAAATGGAATTGCAACCAACTAACTTTCATGAAAGAAGTTGAACAAGACTGAAGTTTCCTGCCTCCTGGAAATAAAATCCTGGGACTTAACGGATCGAAATTATATGACAAGACACGTCAGCTTATATGCATATGAGATGACATCCTTATGCCAAACAGCTTCTCGACCCCATTATTTTATTCTGTAGGGGTACAAGTAGATCTTTATGTCATGAAAGCCACTAACAATTCTTATAAAACATTGGTGATAGATAAGTGAGACATTTCGGCATGTAACTATTATCAATGTGCAATCAAAGTGAAAGTGCCTTGAAATTGATGCCCTCTTCACTTACAATTTTTTTTTTTTCAAATACATATGATTTCTATTCTAGACCAAACTTAGATTTTTGTTTTGGGTGGGTGCAAAAGAGGGGCTACAACCAACATAATAGCACGAGTAACAGTACGTGGCAGGGCCACTCCTATTTAGAATCTTCTACAGTTCTTGGTCCGGCCTTGGAGGTAGGAAATCTTGCAAGCTACTACTCATAGATTTATAATTCCTACTATGTACTAAATAAATATATGTAGATACATAATATGTTCAAAAACAAAATGTATATATTGTTTCGAGTATGTGTACAGTTCAGGTATTATTTACCAGTTGTATTTGTAGTTTTGTACTCTGTACATCGTCTATCAAATGACATTACAAGTGAGGTGTTTATTTATTTATTATATTGAACACGGACAAAATGAAGTTGTACCGGTCAACATTTAATACTTGATTCTGTAAAAATTCATTTCCAACACCCCTTTGACATATAATTTGGAATGTGTCTATACAGTTTTAGTAAGAAAATTATATTTTAAGAAAGAGAGACAGAGAGAGAGAGGTATTCCATCCAGTAAACCAATCTTCTAGATGTTTTGACGTTTCAAATAGAAATAGTCATGGAGGCAAATTGGTAATAGCCTTGGGGTGGTAATCAAAGTTTGGGATCAAATCTTGGTTACATTGTTGTTCCTTAATGGCTTTCTCTATGCCCAAAATAAAGAAACAAAGACAATAGCTAGTTATTTTTCATAGCATACTCCACATACCTCTTATCTTCTCCAAATTTTTTTTTGTTTCTCCATTTCTTTTCAATTTTTCCTCAAGCCATTAGGGGTAAGGCACACAAAGCACTCGAGTTTGGACATTTATAACCACATATTGCTGGAGCGGGTGGAGATGAATGGATATAAATCTTTAGGGATAAGATCATCCTATCTATCTAACAGTTAGGTAAATTACATTCTTTAATCTTCCTTATTAGCAATCTGACATACAAGCTTGTAGTGATTCAATTCTAGAGACAACATTAAGGTTTAATTGGCAGTTCTCGCTTGCATTGAAGCATAAGTGGGCAATTTTACACAAGTAACACCACTCAACTACAGTCTTTAACCTTAAGAGCCTGTTCTCTTCAACTTAATTTCAGTTCAGTTAAGCTCCAATCAGTTTAGTTTAGTTTAGTTTAGTTCAATTCCTAAATTTCTTCTCTCATAAACAATTCAGCTCAGCTCAGTTATAATTGGACATAACAAAATCATATGTTTGCACTCAAGTCCATGTAATGTAATTCCATTTGTAACCTACTCTTGTCACTACTGTTGGCCCACCACCTTTGGCTTATAATTCCTCCAAAACTTCCATGATGAAAAAACATTCTAAAGATCCCTTTTCTCCTTATAGGGTACATGTTACAAGCATATAGACAGCCTTCACTAGGATACAAATTCCCTCCATTCTTCCAAATATCATTTTATGTAAATTTCATATCTACTAAAGATTAACGGAGGTTAGATACTAGGTAGGCAGCTAAGCTAGAGTGCCAAACTACTAAACAAGATGGGAAACATAAAGGGACAGCAACCATAATGCAGAATTCCAAACACTCCACAAATCTCTTTAAACCCATTAAGCAAGTAATGTAAATGATTTCCCTCTTAATCTATTACTTCTCTCTTTGCAAAATTTACATCTCAAATTCATAATAATCATGTAAAGATAGAAACCAGCGGTTTCCTCCTTTCTGTGTTTCAATTTCCATGCCAACTTATCACCCTGGCTGTAAGTAAAAGTTGGAATGAGCTAATCCCACCCTTAATACTAAACACTAAATAAGCCAAACAACGCGTGCGTTCTATTTAAACTTTCCAACTTAGTACCATATCGAAAAATTTAATTCACTAAAGGCTACATTCAGCAAAACCCATATAAGCTATCACAAATTAAATTAAGTGTTATACAACAAGTATTTTGGTATACACTTGCCTTAGCTTGACCAGAAGATTGTTCCATAGTATCATTGGAGCTGGAAGTACCACTGCATCTTGTAACCACATATCTACCAGAACCCAATTTCTTGTTGCACCACATCTTTTTCAAACTTGAATCCTTTTTGCTCCATATTTGAGAAGTAATTCCAACTAACACAAAATATAACACCCAAATCAATAAATTACTTCAAAATCTTACCATCTTAGCTATATATATGTACTACTAGTATTAATTATTCTTCTATACTCAACTCAAATATATCCAGCATGATTTGGGGGTATTATTCTGCTTGCCAATTTTTGAGAACATAGTTTATATTTGTAAATACAATATGAAACTCAAAATAACAATATGGGGTTATTCAGTTATTGAACAGAATGTAAACTAGTTAAACATCATAATACAACAACACATACACACAAGATTTTGTGATGAATTTCTAAAACAGAAAAACACACACACCATTTTCAATAATCATGTCATTAGCTATTATAATCAATTACAAAAAGAAAATACAAAAAATTGAGATTAGGGGCAGTCCAAAAATTTAAAATTTAAAATTCATTTCATACCAAAACGAACAAAAATTAAAACTACAAACCTCTAGAAACAGAATGATGAGAAGAACTAACAGGAGGAACAAAGGTTAGAGATGGTGCAGTAGAACTGATAATATTACCACCCTTGTAATCAAAATTAAGCTGTTGAAGATTAGCAATTGCAGCTCTCATTTTTTAAGCTTTAATGGCTTTTTTGCTCACTTCTTAAGTTTGAAGTAAAAATGGCGGATAAGAAGAAGATGATGAAAAGATTTTTATGTATGAAAGAGTTTTCAGTAATCAGTGGAATTTGAGCAAAATGGTGTTTTTGGTTTGGATTCTTTGGAAGGACCAAAATCTGCCACGCAGTAACTTCTCAATTTCTGATTGTGGATCACCTCTTGATTTAGGTGTTGTTTGGTTGCGGAATATGTACTTCGTATTTCTAAGGGCCATTATTTTTTTTAAAAAAAATTTATTTAAACAAAATCTAAAAATAGAATATAAAAAAAAAAAAAAAAATGTGTTTTTACCTTTTTATTATCAGTTTTTAAAATTGTAATAATGTCAGTAAGTTTAATTAATTTTTTATTCATTATATGATATAGATGATTTTGAAAAACAACAAACCCAAAAGGTGTCAACGATTCCTAAAATTTGCATAAAGTGTTGGTTGGCATGAAACAAGGTGTAAATTATGGGAGTTTTGACTTATCAAGGGGGTTGGTTTTGTTTTTTGTTTTTGTTTTTGTTTTTTTTTAATAAGGTAAGGAGAAAGAACCTGCTAATCTGCTATACCTCAACCCTCACGATTTTTTGATTCGATATTTACGGGCCAGACACTTTAAGAGTGAGGGGGAAGGGTAAGGGATCTCCACTCTCAAAGTATCTCTAGTGGGGATTGAACCCTCAATTTCAAGGTTAAATGGTGACAATCTTACCACTAGACCAAGCTTAGCTTGGTAAGGGGCTTGGATAATTAACATCCCATGTTTTGTGGGAAGTCGCAAATTCTTATAAATTTTCAATTCCCTCATTTACACTTTTATTGTCAACCAAAGAACCCTTTCATTTTCAAATTTACCATAATTTTTTACTTCCCTCATTTTTTTATGCAACTAAACAATTCCTTAGATCAGTTTCCAGAGTTAATAAAAAAGCCCGGCACTTCGGTCCAAAAAAAGACCCATGTCGTTCACCAAATCTGCACCATACCCTATCAAATGAATACTAATTAAATAGTATAAAATGAACAGTTAGTATTAAAAAGCAAATGCATTAAAAAATATCATTAAATAATATATTAAAAAGGAAGATTTTTTTACTTATAACACCACAAAAAAAGATGAAAAATGGATTATAACACAAGGTTATTAGGATCGAGATCTTACCTTGGATCGATGAGGAGGGGTGGGATTGAATCGATAGAATCAGACCGTAGGATTGAATGCAAGATCCTACTTAATAACAAATAATATTATATAGGAATAATTAACAAAAATAAATCCAAACTATTGACTCTCTTCTCATTTTAACCCCAACTACGGTTTAAATTAGAACAATCCCAACTATAGGGGGGTCTCATAAATTAGTCTAAGAGCAAGTTTAGCCTCAAGTCTCAAGACTTAGACGTGACATCATTTTTGGCGGTCCCCATTGAAAATGATGTCATCAAATTCTTGTTAAGACTCACTAAGACTTACACAAATTTATCACTTTAGCCCTAAGACTTAAATATTTTACATTATATGTAGAAAAGTGTAAAAAAAAGGATAATAAAAATAAATATGAAGTACGTGGTTGAAGTGAGTCCCAATCTCAAGTCTTAAGTTGAGTCTTGAAATTTCAAGACTCAACTTGAGACTTGCTTGAGATTTTTGAAGAAAAATGGGAAAAGCCTTTAATATAAATCTTAAAACTCAAAATGATGATGTCACCTCAAGTCTTTGGGGCTAAACTTGCTCTAAGCCTTTTGCTAACCTATTAGTCAGGTACTGTGAGCAATGTGTCAATGTATAATTCATTTGATTTTTTAAAATTATTATTCTTTTTTTTTAATTAAAAAAAAAAAAAAAAAACCGTCACATACTCTTCATCCCGAACTCCCACCACCACCCTCTGATCTCACCATCCAAGTCCATCCATTAAAACTACCTATACACCAGCCAACAAAAGTATCTTTCCAGCCAAACCACCCTTTATGCCACCCCCCCATCCTAACCGTAAATTTCCGTCAAGCACCACCAACAACAATCTACCACAATTTCCCCTGCAACAACCACTCCAAATGATCGCAAAAGTGGGAGATGAAGTGTGAGTTGCTGAAGGGTAGCGAATGGGGATGTAGGTGGGGTCAGGGGGTTAAGGTGGGGGCGCTGCAGTAGAAGGAGGGGAGATACAGGGGTTAAGGGGGTTGTTGTTGTGGTTGTGGTGCGGCAATGAGGAGGTGGTGGGTCCTGTTAAAATGTGAAGGCCTTCCTTATTTTACTCACCTTTATTTCCTTATTCAACTCACCCTTATCAAAAATATAATTATAGCTATGTATGTTGTAATGATAAGATTTACTGTTATTCCTTTAAGTTGGCATATATATCAAATATAGCTAATGCCAATACAATTAAAATCCTATATAAATCATTGTAATACTCAAAAAAAGAAAAGGTAACCGAATTAATAAAACAAAAAAAGAAATCCTTCCTATATTTATATATTTTTTACATTTTACATTATATACATATATATTTATTAATATATTTATTTTAATTGCACAATTTAGCACTATATACTGACAGTGGTATCAAGAGCTAGTACGATCAAGAAGGCTCTAGCATAATTTCCGCATAGTTAGAAATATTTTATAAAATATCATATAAACTACAAAAAAATGGCATTTACAAGCACAATAAACCAACAACAAGTTACATTATTCGATGGTAGCAATTACGAATATTGGAGCATTCAGATGAAGACCGTCTTACGTGCTTTTGGCGTATGGGAAGTTGTTGAATCTGGCATACCAACAACTAAACCAAATGAAGAAGAATCTACTGTAGGAGGAGTTGATTGGCAAAAAAAGGATGCGGAAGCATTAGCCAAAATTCACCTCGCTACTACAGACTTGATTTTTCCTCGAATAATGAATGCTACCTCAGCAAAACAAGCATGGGATACCTTGCAAAGAGAATTTCAAGGGACTGAGAGGATGAGAATTGTCAAATTACAATCTCTTCAACTCGAGTTTGATAATTTGAAGATGAAAAAAGATGAAAGCATAAAAGATTACTCTACAAGAGTAATAGAAATCGTGAATCAGTTAAAAGCCATGGGTGAAGATATAAATGATCGACGAGTTGTGCAAAAGATGTTATTAACTTTATCAAAAAAGTTTAATCTCGTTGCACAAATAATTGAAGAGTCAAAAGATATCACAACATTATCTCTTGCGGATTTTCTTGGTTCTCTACAAATACATGAACAAAGAATGAATATTAGAGATGATGAAACAACTTCAGAAGGCCCGGATGGAGCTTTCCAATCAAGGCATAATCCCTCATCATCAAAACCTCATAATAATCCAAGAGGGGATTTCAAGCATCAGAATCTAAACAACAATAGAGAGAGAAATCAACAAGGTAAATTTCCTCCTTGCAATATTTGCAAGAAAACAAATCATGAAGAAAAGAATTGTTGGCACAAGGGAAAACCACAATGTAATTATTGCAAGAAATTTGGTCATACTGAAAATGTTTGCAGGTTTAAGAAGCAACAAGCAAGCATTTCTGAAACAGTTGATGAAGAAAGCTATCTATTCTATGCTAATCAAAGTAATACTATTAAAAAAAACGATTGGCTTATAGATAGTGGATGCACAAATCATATGACAAAGCAATTTGATATTTTCACCAACATTGACAAATATGTTAAAATCCCTATCAGAATGGGTAATGGATCAATGGTGAAGTCTGAAGGTAAAGGCACGGTCGCTGTCCAGACAAAACAAGGGACAAGGTTCATTAAAGATGTTCTTTATGTCCCCGGCTTAAATCAAAATTTGCTAAGTGTTCCTCAAATGGTTCAAAATGGATATTCAATCCATTTCAAGGATGAGTCATGCGCAATATTGGATCCACAAAAAAATAAAATTGCTAATGTTAAAATGCAACATAAACGTTTTCCTTTAAATTGGCAATATGAAGGAAAATAGAAGGCAATGCAAGCTCAAGGAGACGAAGCTACATGGCTATGGCACAAACGCTTTGGTCATAGTAACTTTCAAAATTTAAAACTTCTTTCACAAAAAAATATGGTGAAAGGTATACCAATTATGTTAGATATAATTGGTGTTTGCAGTGGTTGTCAACTGGGAAAAATGACAAGACAACCATTTCCAAAGGGACTTGCACGAAGAGCGACAAAGAAATTACAACTCGTACATACAGATGTATGTGGTCCAATGAAAACTCCTTCGCTTGATGACAGCAGGTATTTCATATTATTTATTGATGATTATTCTCGAATGACATGGGTATATTTCATGAAAGATCGTTCACAGGTTTTTCAAATATTTAATAAATTCAAGAATTATGTTGAGAAAGAAAGTTCTGCAGTAATAATGAATCTTAGAAGCGACAATGGCACAGAGTATACCTCATCGGAATTCAACAAATTTTGTGATGATGAAGGTATACATCATCAACTCACTGTTCCATACACACCACAACAGAATGGTGTGACTGAAAGAAAGAACAGAACAGTCATGGAGATGGCAAGATCAATTGTTGATGTTTAAAGGTTTTGATGATGAGGGACTTGAGTTACAACAAACTCATCTCATAAAGACTTTTCAAGTGTTTGTGCAGCCTAGGTGAAATCGACTTGGAGATGGAAGAAGTAACTAAAGCTGAGAAGACTTGAAGGAGTTCTTTATCAAGAAAGTTATTCAATATAAAAGAAGAGTTCCCTAACAGGAACTGAGTTCCCTCACAGGAACGTTCCTTCACAGGAACTTGAAGATTGCTGACTAAGATCTTTGGAGGAACTTAGTAAGCGTGAAGTCCAAGTAAACCTGCCAGAACAAGAATACAGCGCAACAATGTTTTAGTTAAGATTTTATCTTCTAGATTCATTGTTAAATTTTTTAAGTAGGATATACATGAAACTTATTAGAAGCGTGACAGTTAGCTTGGCAAATAAATTAAAATCGGAAAAGATAAAAGATAGAAATCGGAAAAAGATTTTCTTTAAATATTTATCTTTTAAAATCAGTTTGTTAAAAAGATATTATGCTTTTTAATTCAATATTTCTATCTTATTTTTTGAAAAGATTTTCTTCAAAGGATTTAATTAAAAAAACCGTGTTTTAAGATAAGTTAAGTTTTACTTATTTATCTTTATGTAAACCTACTGTTTATACAGGTAATACTTGTATAAATAGTAGAGAATAATATGAGCCTAGGTTTTTGTGAGTTTTATGCGTGAAGAATTTACAGAGCTATAGTTGCGTAAGTTGCCAAGCTTATCATACTGTCATATTAGTTTCGAGTTTCATGCATAGCTTGCCTATCATATACTAGGTGTTAATTCTTGTATTTGGTTTCGGGTTTATCAGGGTAAGAGTGTTTTTATCATTGCATACAGAGAGAACTTCTGGTGAGAAGGGGAAAGATCTGTACTTAGGGAGTACGAGTGAGTTTGAGTGTGGGACTCAAACTGGGTAGAACAAGGTGTTGTTCTGTAGCAAGTTCATTCTTGAACTTGAGAGTAGAGGCTGAATTATAATAGGTTGTAACTTGGTGTTTGCCCTATTATAGTGGAATTGTTTGAGTTTGAAATCCCTAAGGTAGGGTCGAGGTTTTACTTCTAGTTGGGCACTAGAAGGTTTCCTCGTAAAATCTGTGTGCATCGCAAGTTCCTATTTTGTTCTGTTTTATATTTGCAAAATTATTACTTAGGAACTCTACTACAATTCACCCCCCCTCTTGTAGTGTTCATCTCAGTTAACAATTGGTATCAGAGCACGGTTCTCACGTGCAAGCAGATAATTTGAGTAAGTTCCTGGAGAGATGAATTACAAGGAGAAACTAGAAGAAGGGTACTCTACCCAACGTCCACCTATGTTCAACGGTAAGTTTTATGCCTACTGGAAGAACAGGATGGAGATATTCATCAAGGCAGAAAATTACCAGGTTTGGCGTGTAATTGAAACTGGTGATTTTGAAATAACTCAAACCAATGACAAGCATGAGGTAGTCTCTAAATCTATTTCTGATTATGAAAAAGAAGATTATCAGAAACTTGAAATGAACGCTTTAGCTATAAAGTATCTGCACTGTGGACTTGGACCCCATGAACATAATCGTATTATGGGATGCAAGTCTGCCAAACAGATTTGGGATTTGTTACAGGTAACTCATGAAGGTACTAACGAGGTAAAACGTTCTAAAATAGATTTATTGATGTCTAGGTATGAAAGGTTTGAAATGCAATCCAAAGAAACCATAGAAGAAATGTTTACTAGATTCAATGATATTATTAATGAACTGAACTCCCTTGGCAGGCAAATTCCTATTGATGAATAGGCAAGGAAGATCTTAAGAAGCCTACCACAAGATGAACGCTGGAGATCCAAGGTTACTGCCATGCAGGAAGCTAAGGATTTTACTAAGTTCAATATGGAACAACTAGCTGGATCATTGATGACTCATGAACTTCATCTGAGTTCCAACACTGAAAGTTCCAGAAATAAAGGTTTGGCACTCAAGGTCGAAGACTCAGAAGGATCAGATGTTGATGAAGAAGAGATGGCTATGCTAGTGAGGAAATTTAAGAAAATGATGAACAATAGGAAGTTTGACAGGAACAAGAAGTATACAAGTTCCAGAAACACAACGTGTTTCAAGTGTGGATCAAAGGATCATTTTATCAAAGATTGTCCTGTTCAGGATGGAGAGAAAGGAAAGACTAAAGGCAAGGAGCAATCCAAGGAGTCAAGAGTCTACAAGCCTTACTTCACCAAGGACAACGTTAAGAAAGCCATGCTTGCTGCTTGGGGAGATACAGATTCAGAAGAAGAAGAGGAGGATCAACCATCAGAAGAAACTGCTCATTTATGTCTAATGGCAAAAACTGATGAAGCTGCCAAACTGAAGGAGCTTGAGTCTGAGGTATGGTTCTCTTACAATCAATTAAAACATCTGTCTAAAGAGAATCTATTAGATACTGTTTTGGAAATACAAGAAGATATAAAAGAATTGCATAAATCCAAACATCTAAGTGATAAAGCTTTGATAACTTACAAGGAGAACAGTGAATGGGTTGATAACATGAAGTTTGACATTCAATACAGGTTCTTCAGTCTGTTTGATGACAATAAAATTCTAAAAGAAACTCTAGAGAACTTAAAACAAGATAACATACTCTTGAATGTGGAATTGTCTTTGTTAAAACTGAGTGTTGATACTCCTAAATCTGAAGTTCCTCCACCGACTGATTATCCGAATTTTGAAAAATTGAAACATGATTTGGAAGAGTTAAAAATGGATAAGGCACGTCTTGAGGGGGAACTTGAGAGGGCTAGGAAAGGTAAACAACCAATAGAGTATAGAGTTCCTGATTGGATCACTAAGGCTCAAACTAAGAATACTGAAGGTTTAGGTTTCAAAAAGAAGTTCCAGAAAGAAAAGAAGTATGTCAACTTGCCCAGTAGCATTGTTTGTTATTTCTGTGGCAATACAGGGCATAAGCAAGCTAAGTGTCCTAAGAAAGAACAAAGCACTCAGAAGAATATCAAACATGTAAAACAAATCTGGGTAAAGAAAAATGAATCAACCCATGTTACACAGGAACCCAAGGAAACCTGGGTTCCTGACTCTAATGTTTAAATTCTTCTTGCAGGTTCCAGTGAGGGGGAACAACACTTGGTACCTCGACAGTGGTTGTTCTAAGCACATGACTGGAGATAAAACTAGATTTCTCTCACTGGATGCCTACTATGGTGGAACTGTGACCTTTGGTGATAACATGAAAGGTGATATAATTGCTATTGGCAAGATAGGAAAGTCACGTTCCCATGCTATTGATAATGTATTTTTGGTCGAGGGCCTCAAGCACAATTTGTTAAGTATTTCTCAGTTTTGTGACAAAGGTAACTCTGTTAGCTTTACTTCAAATAAGTGTAGAATCTTCCACAATGACACTGGGAACATTATTTTAGAAGGAACTCAAAACGGGAACACATATGTTGTGGATCTTAACGAGGTTCCTAACAGTAGTTTAACATGTCTTAGTGTTATTGAGGATGATCCTCTTTTATGGCACAAAAGATTTGGCCATGCAAGCTTTTCTTTACTGGATAAATTAAGATCTAAGAACTTAGTGGAAGGACTTCCTTGCATTAAGTTCCTGTATGACAAAGTGTGTGAAGCTTGTGCTAAAGGTAAACAGACCCGAATTTCTTTCAAGTCCAAAAAGATGGTAAGTACCAAAAGACCTTTGGAACTTATTCATATGGATCTCTGTGGTCCAATGAGAATTCAAAGTAGAAGTGGTAAGAAATATGTAATGGTTATTGTTGATGATTTTTCAAGGTTCACTTGGGTTTTCTTTCTTGTAAGTAAGGATGAAACGTTTGACGAGTTTGTTGCTTTTGTTAAGAAAGAACAGAGAAGAACAGGTAATCAGTTGATACATCTTAGATCTGACCATGGACAGAATTTGAGAATTCAAAATTTGATGAGCTTTGTGCTGAGTATGGTATGGATCACAACTTCTCTGCCCCAAGAACTCCACAACAAAATGAAGCAGTGGAACGCAAGAATAGGAGTCTTGAAGACATGGCAAGGACAATGTTGATATCAAGCAGGCTGCCTAGGAGTTTCTGGGCTGAGGCAGTGAACACAACATGTTATATACTCAACAGAGTATCTGTTAGGGCCATCACCAACAAAACTCCTTATGAACTTATGAAAGGGAGAAAACCTAATATTTCTTACTTTAGATCTTTTGGTTGCAAATGTTTTGTTCACAATAATGGTAAAAGGAACTTGGGAAAGTTCGATGAACGTAGTGATGAGGCAGTTTTCCTAGGATATGTCTCAAATAGTAAAGCTTATAGAGTTTATAATAAAAGAACAATGTGTGTTGAGGAGTCTGTAACATATTATATTTGATGAGACTGAAAATTTGGTTGATGTACAGGATTGTGAT